CTCTCTCTCTTTCCCTTCCTCTCTCTCCCTCCCACTCTATCTGTACAAAAAATGGAAAAAGATATCCTCGGGTGAGGATAAAAAAAAAAAACGTTGCACTGCTGCCCTGGCCGGTTTGACTCAGCGGTTGGAGCGTCGGCCTGCGCTGCGGTCTAGGGAGACCGGGGTTCGGTTCCCGCTAAGGGCACATGCCTCGGTTGCAGTTTGTCCCCTGCCGTGGTTGGTCATTGGTCGTGAGGGTGGCAGGCACTCGATGTGTCCCTTTCACGTCGATGTCTCTCTCTCTCTCTCCCGCCCTCTCTCCCTCTCACTCTATCTGAACAAAAAATGAAAAAAAAAAAAAAAAAAAAAGCCCTCTGGTGAGGATAAAAATAAATACAAGGAAAAAGAAAAACTTTGCACTGCTAATAAGAACAAATTTCTACCTGATTTCCTTCTTGTAGAATTTCTTTGAATTGACACCCATGCTTGTAAATGAGGAGTTAAACAATGGCTGTCCTTCCCTATACATATAGGAGGACCTGTGACTCCTGTAGTATAGTTAGGCATAATCATACCTTCCTCTTCTGGTTTTAAAGGTCCTCTAACATCAAAAGGCCCTGGCATCCATGAAGTTGCATTAGTATATACAGTTATGGTAGTATCAAACAAGATATGCCTCGCATTAAAGGTGGGTTAGAGATATATGACCAACAGGTAAAATTTTCTCCTTTACTAGAGCTTACCTGCATTGACACGATTGCAAGCATAGCCAAGAATAATGAGGATGGGGTAAGTGGAGCTCCTTGACGCTTTACCAGTTTTTCTCCCTCTTGAGTCAGCTTCTTAAGTTGACCCCATGTCGGCAGGTTCGCTCTGACCTTGGATGGTAGAGGATAAGCAGTCTCCCTTCAGTAATCTTCATTTTCTCCACTCCTCTTGTTTCCTCAATTTCTTTCTTTCTTTCTTTTTTAATCCTCACCTGAGGACATCTTTTCATTTTTTGTTCAGATAGAGAGGGAGGGAGGGAGAAAGAGAGAGAGAGAAACATCGACGTGAAAGGGACACATCCAGTGGTTGCCACCCGCATGACCCAACCAGGGCCAGAGACAAACTGCAACCGAGGCATGTGCCCTTAGCGGGAACCGACCCCGGGTCTCACTGGAGTGCAGGCCAACACTCTAACCACTGAGCAAAACTGGCCAGGCCCTCAATTTCTTACTACGTTTATCAGGAACCCACAACTTCTGGCCACCTGTGGAAATCCAAGCATGTCCTCAACCCCAAATGCTGGGAGCCAAGAGTTAGTGAAGACATCTAGATACAAAGCTGGTTGCATTAATGGTGGTTTTGGTTCCATTTTCCAGTGTTTTTGTGCTGCAGATAACTCCTCCTTCTGGGTTGTCAGAAAATTTAAAGTAAATAGAGTGTTCCTCAATCTTTTCCTTGGGGTATCCATATATTCTCCCCCTTTTTGTTTTGAAAGCATGTTTTTTAAAGTTTGATTTTTTCAGAGGCTAATGCCATGGCCCCTGAGAACACTTCATTTTATCCTGAGCCAGTCCCCCTTTTAATGCAGCAGCTAATAAATTAGCTGTAAAAGTGCCATGTCCCACATCTTGGCAAGCCTTAATATAGTCCTCAATAGTGCCTCCTTGTTGTTTTACTGAAATCAAGGCCTTTTTACAATCAGCATTGGCATTTTCAAATCCTAAAGTATGCAAAAGAATACTTTAGGTTCTTCTCCTGTAACAGAGTGCTTTATAGCCTCATGTAATCTAGATAAAAATTCAGGATATGGTTCAGTAGGGCCTTGCAATACTTTTACAAATGGTTTCCCTATTTTTCCTGTAGACTCCATTTTCTGCCAAGCTGTTAAACATATATTCTTTAGTTGAGCTAATGCTGCATCACAAACTGGCATTGGTTTAGGAGTGAACTCCATTGTCCTGTACCGGTTAATTTCTCAAAATTAGCTCCTGGAGGATTCTGTTGGGCATTGAGCCTAGCTACCTGTTCCGCTTCTTCCCTCCACCATGACTTAAATTGTAATTATTGTCCAGGTTTTAAAGTATTTTTAGTAATAGCTTCCCAGTCTAAAGGTATAAGTAAATTATCATTTGCATAGGCTCCCACAATTCCTTGAACATATGGAGAATTTGGACCATATGTACTAGTAGCATTCTTAAGTAGTTTAAGATATTGAAACTCAACTGCATGATAATTAGCTTGAATATAACCCTGTGGGTATTGAGCATTAGCAGGCATTTGCTGTCTGATTACTGAAAATAAATTATAAGAATCATCCCCAATATGAACACTAGGTTGCATCGCACTATCATGTTCCTCTAAAAGTATTTTCCCAACTTCAGATGAGTATGGGAATTGAAACATATGTCCTTTTCTTCTATTAGCAATAGCACATCGAGGTTCTTCTTGCGGGGCACTAGGCTGGTTAATTACTGGATAAGCCATCTCAGCCACTTTTATGCCTTGTATATTAAGGTGAGGGGATTGAGAGAGCAAAGTAGACCGCTCAGCCTTCTTTCCATCCCTTTTCTTCTCTTTTCTATATTTGCCAGATCTGGATATAGGGGTTGGGGACATTCGTCCTCCTCACTAGCTGGGCTAAAGGAGTCAGAGTCACAACCAGACTCCTTTTGCACTGTCTTTACTTACCACCTTGGGAATCCCTTCTGGAGTGTCAATGATACGAGAAGGCTCCTTGATTTCTTTATCAGACATTTATTCTGAATCTGACTGAAAAGGCTGTAAAGCTAAAGCGACTGAGTTAAAAGCAGACCACGGTTCAGCACTAATCAGCTCCCCATTTTGATGAGCACTTCTTAAAGCTTTTCCTACTTGTTTCCAAACCTTCAGGCTTAATTGACTTCTTTTATCAGGTGAAAACCAATAACAGTGTTTCATTATAAAGGTTAAGAGAGAACGGAGAACCTGCTCCTTAACTGACAATCCAGTACTTTTTAATATAGACCTAACTAAGTACTGCCACATATTCGTCCATTAATGACGGGGAATTCCCCATGACTCCGTTCAAAAAATCCCGAAAGTTTTGCCTACTGCCGCGCAACCAACAATCCTTTCGGTCTTACCTGTTCCCAAAGCTTACTTTCGAGCCCCACGTTGGGCACTAGATGTTGCATTCAAAACGATCGGAGACGCGAAGAAAGCATCAGCAGGCAAGATGTATTCAAGATGAACAGAGGGCTACAGCTTGCTCAGGCACATAGCAGTGATTTCAGGACCACCATGGCTTTTATTACAATGTTTAACAATTACATCTGAAGAATATGTGAGTAACTACATTAGCACCAACAATGCTTAGCAAAAATATATCTTTATGTTAATATCTAACCTTTATCTACATGCCCACAAGCAATGCTTGGTAAACAAATGGCTAACTCTATGTTAACATCTAACCTCTAACTATATGCACACAAATAATGCTAATCAAGCAGTGACTAGTTCAAAAGCTATTATCTAATCCTTAAGGTTTGTTTATTCTATAGTGGAAACAAATGGGCCTCATGAAACTTTGAGACAGTTCCTTAATCTGCATGTCTGGCTTGCAAGATCACACAGAAAACTCATCCTTGGCTGTCCTCTAGTTCTTAAGGATCCATCAATTGAAGAATAAGAGATTGTCTTAAAATCATCTCGCAGGTGCTCATATGAAAACCTTCTACATTCCATGTTGGTGATGCAGGAAGAAGAAATCATGACGAAAACGAGGTGGTAAGGTGAGAGGTAAAAGAAGGGGAGCATTATTCTGTAAAAGAGGGGCAGGTGCTTCACTCTAATAGATAAATCTCTTTAGATATACCCTTCCACCATAGTCCATAATGAATGGTCAAAAAAGTCAAGGGGAAGAGAGACTAAGATTCGAGGAGACCCTCAGAGTGATTTTTGAAAAATTTTTATCAACATTCCACCGTCACATGTGAAATACTCAGATCTTGGAGAAAGGGCGCTGGAAATCATCTAGGTCACCTTGTTGACTTCCCAGAATAATGCCTATGGTTGTGTTTTTTAAAAGAACAGCCTCGGCCGGTTTGTCTCAGCAGTTAGAGCGTGGTCCTGCGGTCCAGAGAGACGCGGGTTCAGTTCCCGCTAAGGGCACGTACCTCCCCGTTGCAGTTGGTCCCTGGCCCTGGTTGGGTCGTGCGGGTGGCAACCACTGGATGTGTCCCTTTCGCGTCGATATTTCTCTCCCTCCCACTCTATCTGAACAAAAAATGGGAAAATGTCCTCGGGTGAGGATAAAAAAATAAAACAAATAAAAGAACAGTATTTTACACAACAGTGGTCCCAGGGGTAAAAAGCAGTGTCTGTATCACCAGAGGCCAGCCAGGTAATCACAGGCACAGGAAAGCTCCCCCAGCAAGGGCCAGGCTGAATGCCCTGCAATGGACCAAAACAGCCTCCAGATGGTACTCATGGATTCGGGAGGCGGTGGGCTTCCTGGCTCCACTCACACCCCCACCCGCGACTAGCCCCTTAACAAGATCTTGGTGGGGTGCATTTGCCCACAGGGACGCTTCTGTGCGCCTAGGTCCAGAGTCCTGCAGGCTTTGAATTATTTCAGGCACTGGTACAGGTCTGCAGGTACATCTGCAGGTACATCGTGGAGCGCCCTCACCCCCACCGCCCGCGCGCAGAGGGCGATCACATGGGCAGGGAGATGCGCGCAGCCGGCCAGCTATAGGCTGCGGCGGGGAGCCAGAGGGGGCGCGCCTGGGCCTTTGCTGAGACCAGAGTGTGTGGGATCCGGTTCAGGAGAGCTAGCAGACTGTCTCTTGTGGGGTAGATTTTGCCCATCGTGCCCCCCGCACCAGGCCCTTTCCGCGGCGCTTTCCTGGCTCTGTGCTGATGAACCGAGATTCTGCCGGGGGATCAACTAAGGCGACGTTTCCAGAGTGAGGAGGCAGCCCTGGACGCAACTATCTGGTTGTTCTAGTCTTCACCTGCTGAAGGAGGTGCTGGGTACTTGGGTATCAGAGATGAATTACACGCGGTTTATCACAGCGGCGAGCGCATCAAGACAGCCTTCTCCCATCGGCGTACTGAGTGAGTGCTTGGGCAGCGTCCCTCCTCCTGGGCTGGGGTGGGGGGTCCTCACAGAGTCTCTAAGGGTGGTACCTACAGTCACCTTGGTTGCAATCATTCCTTCAACTGTGAAAGCTCACTGTGAGCCAGGCTCAGTGTGCAGACGTGAACTCCGGCTGGAAGTGAAGGCGGGAAAGGAGTAGCAACAGAGAGAGCAACGGGCTGTTGTGGGTACCTGCCTTGGAAGAGAGAGGGCAGAGGGCTGTGTAGAAAGGCTCTTTCCTGACCCTAAGTAGGGGTTAGACTCAGCCTGCAGCCTCACAGGGAGTGGAGAGGGGCTGCTAAATGGGAGAGAAAGGGGTGAGCCATGAGGCTTGACAGGCAAGGAAGGCTAACCTGAGCAGGATTTTCTGTTACTGTGGCCCTTTGCTTATCTAGATAATCCTGATCCCTCTGCCTTCTTAGTTGGACATCTCCATTCCTTAGTTCCTTCTCCAGTGAGGTAGGTCCAGATGAAGATATTTTGTGTTTATTTTAGATTAGCATCCTATCACTTGACAGTTTTATTGAGTGTAATGCAGCATACTTAACTCTCACTGTTCAGGAAAGTTTTCCATGAAAGTGTTTCTTCTCTTCCATTCTTATTGCAGCTGATATATTGAGCACAGCACCAAAATCGGTCATCTCCTTAGCTACTGGATCACCAAATCCGAACATGTTTCCTTTTAAGGCTGCTGTTATTACCATAGAAATTGGAAAGACCATCCAATTTGATGAAGACATAATGAAGAGAGCACTTCAATATTCCCAAAGTGCTGGATAAACTATAGATAATATAATTTTGTTGGCTCATTTTCATGAGCAGTATTCTAAGGGCTGCTGATAAGGTGACTTGTGTCTTTTTCTTTAACTGGGTATTCAACAGCTAGGAAGGTTTGTGGGAGAGGTTTCAAAGAAGAATTAACAGCAACAGGATATTGAATCCTGAACACTCCTCAGGGACTTCTCACCCTTACAAGACTAGGAGAGTCCAGTTCTGGAAGGAAGTACTATATTGACCTGAGACTGAGAAAAAGGAGAAGATAGCCAGGCAAAGAAGCATGTTTGAAGGGAAGAAAAGGATGTTTCAGGAAGCAGCAATGTTAAGTCCAGGGGCGATTTTAAAGAATTATGTTCCCTTCCCAGCTATGCAAATATGGTGCCCTCAATTCAAATGTCTTTCATTCTTAAAGGCAAGCTAGAATGCATATTAAGATTTTCCTTAGCTGATCTTCTAATGAGAAAGAATAATTGATAGAGTGCCTATAAATTATACTTTGTTAAAGCCTTCTTTGTTCTGTGGTGGAAAACTATTTTGAAATATAGTATAGGTTATGTATATATAAATTATATGTAGTATATACATAGGTCTTTCCTTCCATGATACAAAGAATTTGGGGGACCTGAACTTTTAGGTAGCTTATAGAAATTACTCTACAAAGAACAAAGAATTGATCATTAAATGAGTGCTCTATTGTAAAATAAAGATTAAGTTTTTAGACTAAGAAAGATGAGGTAGATTCAGTTTGGCCGGTGTGGTTCAGTGGTTGAGCACTGACCCATGCACCAAGAGGTCGCCAGTTTGATTCCTGCTCAGGACATATGCCCAGGTTGTGGGCCCAATCCCCAGTAGGGGGCATGCAGGAGGCAGCCAATCAATGTTCTCTCTCATCAATATTTCTATCTCTCTCTTCCTCTCACTTTCTCTCTGTAAAATCAATAAAGGAAAAAAATTGTTTTAAAAAAAGATGTAGATTCAAATATCAGCTCATTTAATCACTGGCTGATTGACTTTATGTGACTTTCTTAATTTCTTAAGTCTGTTGCCTTATCTTTGAAATAGGCATATGAATATTGGCAAAAAAGTGTTTGATGATTTCAAAAATGAATGTGTATAGCTACCATTTAATTCCTCTCTAATATTATGATGTTTATTACTATAAATTTGAAAATACATTTTATGCTTTAGCATCCCAGAGCTGTTGTCCTGGCTAAAAGAGTTACAAGTAAAATTGCACAATCCTCCCACCCTTCATTATCCACCCAGCCAAGGACAAATGGATATATGTGTCACAACTGGCAGCCAAGAAAGTCTTTGTAAGGTAAGACAGAAAGAAAAGAGTACCCCACATTGACAATCAAATATGTGCATAAGTACAGTTATCTCTCCCTGATAAACAAGATGATCATGCTTTGTCACTTACTGGTAGTCTTTCTTATCCTTACCTAGAATTATAAATACCCCCACCAACCTGATTTTTCTTACATTTAGATCCTATGGTCTGTGACCCAGAGCTATGAGTCTCTCAAACAGGATTCCCATTAAAGGGGTACTCAACTCCTACCAGAAGCATTAGTGAGCACTGCTTAATTTCATCTGACTTAGAGATGCAGGTTACATTTTGTTTTATATTATTTTAATTATAAATTTCAATGTAATTAAAATTGTTTTTCTTTATTTATTTGAGAGAGAGAGAAATATCAATGAGAGAAATCATTTAGCCGCCTCTAGCATGCCACCCACTGGGGATTTGGCCCACAACCTGGGCATGTGCCCTGATGGGGAATCGAACTGGCAACATCTTGGTGCATGGGTCGCTGCTCAACCACTGATCCACACTAGCCAAGCATAACACTTTAGAGGGCATATCCTGATACTCATCAGATGGAATATGATTCCTTTGCATGTTTGCTTATGAAATCCTCTGTGCTCACCACTACTTGTCTCTGGTCTCCCTCCCTCTTCGGTGTGCTTCTCTAGGTCTATGTATGTGTCTGTATCTCTGACTTTTCTCTGGGTTCATTCTCTCTCTCTTTCTCTCTCTCTCTCTCTCTCTCTCTCTCATTTATTGTCTTTAAGTCTACAAAGATACAATGGGGAAAAGTCAAACCACACATTATCATTTTCATTCTCTCTCTCTCTCTCTCTCTCTCTCTCTCTCTCTCTTTCTCTCTCTCTCTCTCTCATTTCATCTGCCTCTCATGTAGGTTCCAGGAACTTCACAGATAAAGAGACTGTATCCATGGTTCTCAATTTCATCTATTTTTTCTTTTCTCTTTCATGACTAATAAATCCTGAGTAGGGATTCTGTATTCATATTCAGTCCTTACCTATAGATTAAAAGATGACGCATACTTATCTTAAACCAGAGTGCCTTTATTTTTCTTTCTTCTTTTATATGTAAATGTGAAAGCTGTAATCTGGTTAGTTCTAAGACATTTTAGTAATATTATTATTACAAAATAATTGAAAGAATAAGAATCTTTATCAGTTTTCCTCTATCTTTTTTATTTCCTTAAGAAAAATTAAAGAATTAGCTGTTTGAGTTTTTACCTGCAAAGAAACATTTGTGATTTCATAGACTAATATAAAAGTTCTTTTTCATGAAATTCTTTTCTTAGGAAGGTATGCTATGAACTTTTTTCCAGAAAGATACTCAAGACTATTTCTTCTTCGTCTGTCACAGCATCAGTCATGTCAGAGAAGGAAGATGGCATAGCTGTCCAACCACATCAGTAACTCGCTCACTGACAGGCGAGCTTACTACAGAGGCCTCAGGGGGACTCTGGTTTGCTCTCTCTCCCACTTTGTTCTCCAGGAGAGATATTACTGTAGGCGACTGTATGACCTACATCTATTCAAAAGTGCTGCCAGAAAATAAACAGCCCTCCTCCTCATTCAGGATAATCAACATTCTCATGTCCCCTCATTGACATGGAAAATACATGCAATTATGTTTTCATTTGGTCTCTTGGTAATGCACATGCCACCCAGGTAACTTGTTGGGTCTTGGATATCATGTGAAACCTGAATTGATTGGAAACTTTTCAGAGAAGGATACCATTTGTCATAAATGCAAAAGCTCTTAAGGAAAAGGTATAAGGAACATCTTAGGTCAAATCTATAAACAAAAGTTCAGTCTTCTGTCTCCATCGGTAATAGCTATACTGTTTGTCAAGAGATATAGGTTGTCAACATGATAGGAAGGAGAGACTTGAACTGGGGATTGTAAAACAACACATGGCAAGAAAAAATTTTTCTGTAACTTATGTAAGGTTTACTCATAATAGACCCTTTTGGATAGGCCAGAAGGATCTATTGTCTGGCTCTGTTGATGTCAATAGGCATGTTATCTGCAAAATCTCCTAAGGTTTGTCAATCTATGTCTAACATGACCTCCCCCATCCTTTTGCATCCCTGTCCTCCTCTGGTGCTCAGCACCACGTGGAGCAGCTCCCTCTGCCCACCTGCCCAGTCTCCGTGGCCCTGTCTGCATCACAGCCATTGTTCATTGCAGTTCCTCGGGGCTCAGGCTTCAGACCTCTGCTCCCCTTCATCTGTGCATTCTCCCTGGGTACTTCCATTCACACCCATGTGGTCAGTCATATGTTAGTAACTCCCAAGGTCCTTCCAAGTCCATTTGTCCATCTGTGTACCTGCCATCATCACAACATGTTTTGGAACCACCTCAAACCAAAACACACTTGTCAGGCATGGACAACCTTCTGGGTCTGCTTTTCAGTGAATGGCACCACTCCGACCATCGATCCATAGGCAGAAAGCTGGGAGTCATTCTTGATACCTCCTCTTTCTCACACCCCTATAGTCCATAATAATGTTCTGTTGGTTTTGATTTTCAAAACACCTCTCAATTCTTCTGTCCAATTTCACCGTCATTACACTAGTTCAGACTACCCTTATCTGTCTAAATAATTGTAAAAACTTCCCAAACTTTCCACATGTATTCTCATTCCTCTGTAATTCTTTCATACTATAGCCAGAATAATTTTCTCAAAATGCATATCTAATCATGTGATTCCCTCTTCCCACACTCTCCTTAAAACTCTGACAGGCCTCACTTGACCCAGTGCCTGTCTGGTCTGGTTTCCACCCACTGTGTCTCATCCCATTTTATCCTCCTCCTTACACTCTGCTTCAAGCCACAGAACTCCTTCAGCTTCTGAAAATGTACCTGTTGTCACCCCTACCACAGCTCATCACTTTCTCAGGAAGACCTTCTCTGCATTCCCGCGTTTCCTGCACACCAAGTCCTCCCTTGTTGAGCTCTTATAATATAATTGTGCATCTATACTTTAAAGCGTTCATCACCATTTTAAAATATACATTTTTAAAAATTATTTAATTAGGATCTAGCTTTCCTGGTGGACCAGTACCTTTATGAGAGCAAAACTGTCTCATGATGTTCATCATTTTATCACCATATCTTATACGAAACTGGCTCATAGTAAATATTTAATACATTTTCAAAGAAGGAATAAAAGATAAAATGAATTTTGGGAGCCACACCAGTTATGTTATTTTTGATCCAACCCTAGAGCAGAGGTTGGCTACGATGGCTTGAGAGACAATCCAGCCTTCATCTGATTTTGTAAGTAGATTTCTATTGGAACTCAGTGACACGCATTGGTTTACATATTGTCTGTGGCTCTTACAGAGTATTTTCCAACTCCTGCTCCATAATCCTAGTGAGCTGAAACTAGAAAGTGGGGGGCAGGGGTTCTAAGAATAGGAACAATGCTATCCAAGCTAACCTATGCTTCTTTTGTTAGGTGTTTGAAATGCTCATTATCGTAAAGATAACATCCTCTTAGATGAACCTGTTTATCCGGGAGCACTTCAAGCTGTGAGTATACATTTCTACAAGAAGCAGCTCCCCTTCTTAAAGAGAAATAAGAAGAAACCATTGCACCTTTAGAATTATCTGTCCACTGAAAAATAAAATAGCGTCTTTCACCTGTATACAGGAAAATCTTAAATGATATATGCAAACTGTGTTAAATATACCCTTTATACATTTCTTTTTAGCTAATTTAAATGAATGGGTGCTAAAATTAGGTTGGGCAAAATGATGTCCAGTTTTCTGAATATTGCACTTAAAATGTGACTTAATTTACAAAAATTAATTTTTTCATTACCATATGCCTAAGTATAATCATGTTATATGTCAATTTACAATAACTGTAAACTAATATGGCATAATTAGGTGTTGAAATGTCCACTCCAATGTTAAATTAATGGGAATATGATAACCAGAAAGAAGAAGCTGATCATCTGGCCCTGCCGTGTGCTGATCAGAAAACACCACTGAGAATTAGGTTTTGGGTGGGGCATGATACTTTAGGATACATATGTATACAAACTGGAAGAGTGAGAGCAAAGTAGTCAGAGTAAATAGGAAACTAGAAACCGTACCATATGATGAATGATTTTAGAAACTGTGGTTTTTTTCCCCAGAAACCAAAGATTCAACAAACATGAGAACTGTCCTCAGATACATAAAAGTTAGTCATGTGACGAAGGAATTAGATTTGTATATGCATGTCCCTAGGTTTAGAGAACTGGAACCAAAGGCTGGAAACTACAGAGAAACAATTTCAACTCAGTATAATAACTTTCTAACCATCAGCCTTCCCTTCCTCGCTAAGGAGGCAAAGCATTGCCCATCACTGCTCAATTACTCTTCATTTCCACAGAACACAAATGTTGCAAAAGTACTTCTAGTCTAAAGTAGGGGAGTTGAATGAGATGACCTTTATGCTCTGTTGATTCTGATTTCATTGATTCTTTATTTATTCAATGTAATATTACTTTATAAAAATCAATATATAAAGCAATTAGCTAGTCTTATTGAAAGACATATTTTCTCAATATATTCCTAAGTAGAGACAAAATTGATATTATAAAAATTCGTTTTTCCAAAGAACAATCAGAAAAAAAATTTAAAAACAATTTTCATTTATAATAACATTCAAGAGAATAAAATGCATCACTTATTCGTGCATTAGAAGACTTAATATTGTTAAGATGTCAATACTGCCAAAGCAATCTACAAATTCAATGCAATCCTATCAAAATGCAAATAACCTTTTTGCAGATATAGAAGAGCCAATCCGCAAATTCATATGGGATTGGGTGGGACCCTAATAACCATAAGAATCCTGAAAAAAAAGTACACAGTTGGAGGATTCACACTTCCCCATGTGAAAACCAACTGCAAAGCTATAGTAATCAAAACAGTGTGGTACTAGCCTAAGGACAGATATATATTTCAATGGAGCAGAGTTGAGAGTCCAGAAATGAACCCATGCATCTATGGCCAGATTTGGACAGAGGTACCAAAATCATTCAATAGGAAAAAAAAAAAAAAAAAACAGTCTCTTCAACAAATTACAAAGGGACAACTGGATTTCCACATGGAAAAGAAAGAAATTGGACCCTTACCTCACACCATATAAAATTTTTACTCAAAATGGATCAAAGACCTAAATGTAAGAGCTAAAACTATAAACTCTTAGAAGAAAACATAACAGCAAATCTTGACCTTGGATTTGGCACTAAATTCTTAGATATGACACTAAAAACATAAGTAACAACAAAAATAAATACATAATTGGACTTCATTAAAAAATTAAAGCTCTTAAGCATCAAAGGACATGATTCATAAAGTGAAAAGACAGCCTAAAGAATGGGAGAAAATATTTGCAAATCATATATCTGATAAGGGCTTAATATCCTGAATATCTAAAAACCTCCTAGAACTCAACAACAAAAAGACAAACTAATTTAAAAATAGACAAAGGACTTGAATAGACATTTTTTCAAAGGAGATATACAAATAGTAAATAAGCACATGAAAAGATACTCAACAGCATTAATCATTGGAGAAATGAGAATCAAGACCATAGGGAGATATCACTTCATAACTACTAGGATGGCAATATTTTTTTAAATGAAACATAGCAAGTATTGGTGAATATGTGGAGAAATTGGAACCATTGTACATTGCTAATGGAAATGTAAAATGGGGGAAAACAATTTTTCATTTCCTCACAATTTTAAATGTAGAATTACCATGTGATTCATGAATTCCACTCCTAGTATATACCCCAAAAGAATTGAAAACTAGGACACAAACAGAAGCACAAACATTCACTACAGCAGTATTCACAATAGCCAAAATGTGAAGCAACTCAAATGTACATCATTGGGTGAATAAAGGAACAAAATGTACATACATTTTGGAATCTTATTCAGCTATAAAAGGAACAAAGTTCTGACACTTGCTACAACATGAATAAACCTTGGAAACATTATGCCAACTGAAAGAAGCCAGATACAAATGACAATATTGTATAAAATATCTAGAATAGGTAAGTTCATAGAGACAGAAGTAGATCAGAATTAACCAGGGCCTTGGAGAGGGAGGAATCAGGAGTTGTCCCTTAATGGGTGCACAGTTTCTGTCTGAGGTAATGAAAAGGTTTTGAAAATTGATAGTGATGGTGGGTGCACACATTGTGAATGTAATTAATGCTACTGAATTATACACTTTATTTATTTTTATAATTTAACTTTTTTGTTTTTTTTGTTTTTTATTTATTAATGAATTCATTTATTTTTGTTACAGATGATTCTCCTTTTTTCCCCATTGAAACCTTCCTCCCAATCCCCTCGACCCAATCCCCAGCTTTGTTGTCCGTGTCCATTGGTTATGCGTACATGCATATAAGTTCTGTGGATTATCTCTTCCTTCCACCCCACCTCCTTTACTGAGGGTTGCTAGTGTGTACCCTACTTCCATGTCTCTGGGTCTACCCTGTTCCTCACACTGTTATGTTCATTATATTCCACAAATAAGTGATATCATGTGGTATTTGTCTTTTTCTGCTTGGCTTGTTTCGCTTAGGATAATACTCACCAGGTCCCTCCATGTTGTATCACAAGATAAGAGTTTTTTCTTTCTTACAGCTGCATAGCACTCCCTTATATATATGTACCACAACTTTTTTATCTATTCGTCTACTGATGGACACTTAGGCTGTTTCCAGATCTTAGCTATTGTAAATAGTGCTGCTATGAACATGGGGGTACATACATTCTTTCTGATTGGTGTCTCAGGCTTCTTAGGGTGTATTCCTAGAAGTGGAATCACTGGGTCAAATGGAAGTTCAATTTTGTTTTCCATAGTGGCTGCACCAGTCTGCATTCTCACCAGCAGTGTACTAGAGTCCCCCTTTCTCCACACCCTCGCAACACTTATCATTTGATGCTTTGTTGATGGTGGCCATTCTGACAGGTGTGAGGTGATATCTCATTGTTGTTTTAATTTAAATCTCTCTGATGATTAGTGATGTTGAGCATTTCTTCATATGTCTCTTGGCCATTTATATGTCCTGTTTGGAGAGGTGTCTATTTAGCTCCTCTGCCCATTTTATAATTGGGTTCTTTGTCTTTGTTTTGTTGAGTTGTATGAGCACTCTATATGTATTGGAAATTAACCCCTTATCTGATGTATCATGCCAATTATGCTCTCCCATACAGTGGGTTCCCTTTCCATTTTGGTGTTTGTTTCTTTTGCTGTGCAGAAGCTTTTAAGTTTGATGTAGTCCTATGTGTTCATTTTCTTCTTTGTTTCTGTTGCCTTAGGTGATATATCAGTGAAAATTCTGCTGCATGTGATGTCTAAAATTTTGGTGTCTACATTTTCTTCTAGGATTTTTGTAGATACATGAGTCACATTTAAGTCTTTTATCCACTTTGAGTTTATTCTTGTGTATGGTGTAAGCTGATGGTCTAGTTTCATTTTTTTTGCATTTAGCTGTCCAATTTTCCCAACACCATTCATTTAAAAAGCTGTCTCTACTCCATTGTATGCTCTTCCACCTTTGTCAAATATTAATTGAGCATAATGTCTTGGGTCAATTTCTGGGTTCTCTGTTCTGTTCCACTGATCTATGTGCCTGTTCTTGTGCCAGTACAAGGCTGTTTTGATTACAGTAGCTTTGTAATATACCCTGATATGCGGGATTGTGATCATACCTACTTTGTCCTTCTTTTTCAAGATTGCTGTGGCTATTTGGGGTCTTTTGGCTTCATATGAACTTTTGAAATATTTGTTCTAGTTCTGTGAAATATGTCATTGGTATTTTGATGGGAGTTGTATTGAATCTATAGATTGCTTTGGGTAATCTGGACATTTTATGATGTTAATTTTTCCAAACCATGAACAAAGTATGTGCTTCCACTTTTTTATATTTTCCTCTATTTCTTTTTTCAATATTCTGTAGTTTCCTGCAAATAGGTTCTTTACATCTTTGGTTAAGTTAATTCCCAGGCATCTTAATTTTTTTTGCCACAATGGCAAAAATTATTTTTTTAGTTTCTTTTTCTGTGAATTCATCATTGGTGTATAAGAATGTTGTCGGGCCCTGGCTGGTTTGGCTCAGCAGTTAGAGCGTCGACCTGTGGTTTAGAGAGACCCTGGTTCGGTTCCCGCTAAGGGTGCGTACCTCAGTTGCAGTTTGTCTCTGGCCCTGGTGTCCCTTTCACATCGATCTTTCTCTCTCTCTCTCTCTCTCTCTCTCTCTCTCTCTCTCTCTCTCTCTCTTTCTCTCTCTCTCTCTCTCTCTCTCTCCCTCCCTCCTTCCCACTCTATCTGAACAGAAAATGGAAAATGTCCTCAGGTGAGGATTAAAAAAACAACAACAACAAAAAAAGAATGCTGTCAATTTCTTGACATTAATTTGGTATCCTGCTACTTTGCCAAATTCATCTATCGATATGATCATGTGGTTTTTATCTTTCATTTTGTTTATGTGGTGTATCACAGTTATTGATTTGCAA